TGGGGTGGTGGTGGTGTGGGGGGTGACTCATCTCCTTGGATAAATGTTCAGAGGCCCTGAGTCGCGCCGCTCTGGGTTTAGAGCTGGGGTCTAACGGCTCTTTTCTTCCTTTCTCTCCCCTCTTGCTTGAATGGGTGCAGAACATTACATTTAATTCTCTCTAAAAGGAACCCTCCTCGCTGCCTGTGATAGTAGTCATCTGATTTCCCTGACAGAATCCTTCTTTTTGCCTCTTAACACAAATCTGCTGTATAAAACATGTCAAACGTTTCTTAAACATTTTGCAAATACTCACTGAAGTAACCACACAGTTTTTTTCACCAAGTGCAGATCAACCTTTCTCTCTTGCGCCGGGCAATGGAGAACCTTCACCCCAGGCCCCTAGGGAGGCCGGCTACCTCTGAAGACCCAGAAGGCGGCTTTCCTGTCAGCAAGAAGGGGTCCCCCACCTGGCTGAGGTTGTAGGGGCTGCAGTTTTTCAACTGTTCACCCCACTTGCAAAGCACAGTGGCTACTTGACCGTGAGACATCTATTGTGAGCGCACCTGGCAGAGCCCCCACAAGGAAGGCTGCCTTTGAATCGCTGTTATTTGCTACTTTTAACATTTAGCTGCAAAATAAAAAGTGCCCTAGGATGACACACCTTACAAGGCCTCGTGGAGGAGTTTCAGTAGGAATGGATGTGCAATGCGTAGGGGTGAGCAGGGCCAAAATGGCTTAAATCAAACAGGGCTTGAGGAGGTGAATTTGAAATTTAACTTGAATGAACTTAAATTCAAACAGGCATATGTGGTCAGCAGCTCCTGGACTGGGCTGCTGAAGGTCTTAGATGCTCTACAATTCCACAGTGTGATGGTAGACCACAGTAGGAAAATCTGATATAGGACATATAACTGGGCTTCTCAGAACCTTCCGACAGTTCCCCAAACACTCTTCTTTTACCAAAGCGACAGAGCCCCATAGAGCAATGATAGAGAGGCTGATATTGTGCTATCTGCCCAGCTGCCCCGGAGGCCCCTGAAGGCAAAGAAGCCCATGTTCCCTCAATGAGCTGAGAAGGGTGCATAAGGTGTGCTGCTGGACTTAAAACATCCCCACGCTCTGGACAGAATTCCTCTCTCCTGTACCAGGCGCTGATCAGTGCCACCAACAGCACTTTCTCTGATGATAGAAATAGACTTCATCTGTGCCATCCAGCCACTACTTACATGCAGATCTTGAGCACCTGAAATGAGGCTGTGTGCCTGAGGGGCTGAATTTAAATTTTATATGACCTTAAATAATTTCAATCTGAATAGCCACATGTGGCTAGTGGCTTCTGCACTGGTCGGGGAAGGTCTAGCTGCTCCACGATTCCACAAAGACACTGCAAACCACAGTGGAAGATCTGCCACAAGGCTGTGACTGGGCTTCCCAGAGCCCCTGGTCAGTTCCCTAGACGCTCTTTCTCCTTTCAGCAAAGCGACAGAGCCCCACTGCAGGTGCAAACTAGTTCGAATGACGCGAGCCTGCACTCGAGCCCTGTGTTTCTAGATTTGCAAAGCCAGGGTCAGACAACGGAACGCACTCGCTTCCACTGTGGCCTCACAGGCCTGCAGTTGGAGCAAGAGATACTGATCATTTCAACAAAAGCATCATGCAAGCTCGGGCCACGAGGAAACAATGACCAGAGGGATTATGTAACTAGACCTGTTAAGAACACAGATAAGCTAGAAACCATGACTGCTGTGGTCCAGGACGGCAGAGAGGTAGCAACCGCACACATAAGTGGGAAACAAGATTTGCAATTCACCTGTGAGGCGTAGCGTACAATCAGGCTGCATTTACTGCTTTAAGCCAGTAGCTAGAGTGGTTAAAATTTTACAGATTAACTGAAGTGCCTCTTTGCTAATTCTATGCTGTTGGGGGAGGCATTACGTTTATATTTGGGGCATAGTATGGGGCTTCACAGAATGGATATCATGACTTACTTCCTAGCAGTTGATCCTTTCCCACTTTAGCTTAAAATGTCATTTTATTTCTTTATGATCTATGTTTTCCACTTTAAAAAATGATTTGAGATAGCTTACTCAAAATGTAGAGATAAGGTAGAACTGTGAATTCATAACAATAGTAGGGAAAAAATAAGGCCCATAAATAAGGCAAGGAAGAGTAGGGGCTCTATCAGAAGCCTGAGCTAAGGAAGCACTGACAGAGGAGGTCTTCAGAAGTCAAATCCCAGACTCCAGGCACCTAGCCTGTCCTCTGGTGGGCACCCTCGGGAGTGGGCTGTAGGCTCCAGCCCTTGACTCCTCCTAACCAGCCTCCTGGGCCTCAGCAAATTCCTCAACAGCTAACACAAGCAGGTAAAAAGAGAGAACAACCCAACTTCTTACTCTTGGTGTGGGCTTTGGTTCTGAGAAACCTCGGAATCGCTGTCTTTCGGGGAGAGCGAGCCCTTGTAGGTGTAAAACACGTCCTCGGTTTCGGTGATGTACGTCATTTCGTTGGCGAGGTTATCTGCCGAAGAGTGCCGTGGCTTTCGGATTTCATGCCGGAGCCGAGGACTTCGCCTGGGTGGGGAACAGGTGGAGGGTGAAGTGTTGGAAGCAAATTCCACTTACAGGTGTTGTGGTTTTTTTATCAGACACCAGTGATCTAACTTTGTGCCCTGACCTTTTTAAGGATGCCTGGGCTGATGCTGTTAGAAATTAAGAGCCAGCTAACCCATTACAATCCCAGAATCCACCGAGGGCCACACAGGTCCCCGACACTCTCAGCCCAGTGGTGCAGCCCCTGACCAGGAGGCTCAGCTTTATAAAGAGGCAGATGAAATTGGCCTATGGCCTTTGGGAAGGCACCGAGTGCTGATTTAGGCTGAGTCATTCTTCAAGCAGGACTCAAGCTCTCATTGCATAAATAATAGGCCATATTGGCTGCCGATCAGACAATTTTCCTGATTCCTTTGGGCTAAATAAAGGGTTTAGAAGAAAAGGTATAGTTTTGGCAAAACTCAAAGCTTATTTTAACTACACCCCTTCATGTGAATTTCACTTGGTCCAAGAAGAAATGTATGCTTTGTAAAAATATATCCCTTATGTGATATTAGATGGACATAACAGCACCATTCTTTTCCTCCAATAGCAGTAGTAGCTGTGCAACCAGAGGCAAGTCACAGCACCTCTCTGGGCCTTAGCTATACCTACCTGTTCCTGAGAATGAATCAGAAGAGGCAATGTTCTCAGGACGCCTAGTGCAGCCCCTGGGCATCAGCTCCTGCAGTGGGCAATTCCGGGCTGCTGAGCTTTCCTGTTCTATTTCCCTCAGCTTTTCCACTTTCCCCTTTTTTGTGGAGCCACTCATTTCTCCTTGGGACTGTCAGGGCCTCCACTATTCACAATCCCCAGGGCCTGGATAATCAATAACACTGCGTCCAGAGTAGAGTAGAAAGGCTGGTAACTCCTCAGGAGAGGGCCTATAAATAGCCTAAGAGCTCCCGGCCAAGGGTGTGGCAACGTCAAGCCCAGCTGTTCTCCTGGATGCTGTCCTGGGCCTCTGCTGTCCCTGGCATTGCTGCCTCAGAGACTTTCAGACAAATTAGGCTGCTACTTAATAGCATAAGTTTACCACTTAAGGATGTGGTGCCTAGATCTTGGAAACGAAGAAACAGATCTACTCAGCCGTGTTACGATTGCTAACAATAGACACCATCGTCATCCCTCCCAGGCCATTCGGCCCCAGTGGACGGTCCTTACCCAGAGGCCTGTGAGAATTTCCCTCCGTCCTAGCAAATCCCAGCTCAGTAATTGAGAGGCTCTCCTGTCTATCATGAGATGAACAGAAAGCCACACTCCTATTCCAGCGTGGAGCTGGGTAACGTTTCTGGGCTGGTTTCCCCTCCTGCCGCTGACGCCAGGCTGTTTGAGAGGCATTCACAAAAATCGCCTGATGCCTTTGGGGGAACATTATAATAAAATAACAATAATAATTCCACCTCAAACCATTTGTACAGCTTACAAAGCACTTGTACATTGTTTCATTTGTGGCAATTTTTATAATCCTTTAACACTTGGGGCGACTGAGACCAGAGAGGTAAAAAAACAAACAAACTTGTCAATTAACAGAAAAGTCAAAACCTGAGTCTGGGTTTTTCAGCTACAAACCCAGTGCCCTTCCTGTTTGCCAAACTGCCCCTTCCTTCCTTTCAGCAAAGTCCATCATCCTAAATGTTGGCAGGATATCTCCCCATGTGCATTTGCTACTGTTGCTGAGGATCACACGTCCTTACGTCAGTTATATTGTGTTCCTTTATCAGGTTTCCCCAAAGTTTATTCTGTGATGTTAACGGGAAACATGAGATTAGATCAATAAAATTAAACGTGCTCTTTATTACAGGACTTGTTAGAACATTAATAGGCTCGTGTGCACTAGCATCTCAAGAGGGGCATTTCAGCAGGCTGCAGTTCTCAGATTTATTTAGACCAAGTAACTTTTTACAGAAGAACACTGCGCCCTGGCCGGTGTGGCTCAGTTGGCTGAGCACTGTCCCATGCACCCAACGGGTGCTGGTTCGATCCCGGGTTGGGCACAAGCCCAGGCTGCTGGCTCGATCCCCAGCAGGGGGCATGCAAGAGGCAGCAGGTTGATGTTTCTCACATTGATGTTTCTCTCTCTCTCCCCCTCTCCCTTCCTCTCTTTCTCTCAAGTCAATAAAAATACATTAAAAAAAAAGAACATCTCAGCATTATACACAAAGAAAAATATTTAGCTAGGCTTGTGCATTTCACGAAAACAGTTTTTTCGGCAACAGCCAAACCTGCCAAAGTAAACTCTGATTGTAGGCCATCTCTATTTAGAAATGTATTGTTATTATTTTTAAAAGAGATAAAGTATAAGACAAAGGCTGACATAGATTTCTCTACAAAAAAATAAAGATAACAAAATAAAAGAGATCAAGTGTCTACTGGTGGGTAATACAGTAAAAGGACATACCAGTTGGGAGTAATAGGAGGGGAGCGAGAAGGCAGACTCTTGGTTTCTAAATGCTCCACGGATAAGGATCTCCGCATGGCTGGGTTCCAGACCATCCCTCCAATCACCTTTTTGCAATACTGGTTATTTACAGACCTGAAAAACCAGATGCAGGTTCACTTTCTACACTGACATGTTCAACAAGGAAGAAATTACAGCATCAGTGGAACAGGCTGCACACACTCCCCCCGGACCTTGACGACACCCGCCGAGGTTAGGAGGAGCAGAGGTACATGGGCCAGAAGCGACTCTTTTCTCTCCTGGCTTTTCTTTATGTTGTTTCCTCTCTTCTGGCGAAGATATTTTCCTGTCCTTACCACAGCAAGCAACCAAGTTGCTTCCAGAATATAACCAAGCCTTACCAGGTGAGAAGGAATTTCAGGATAACACAGAGATACAGCTCAGGAACGCCAAGGAGCTCTCGCTCAGCTCACACTGGCGGGAGCACCAACACTGGCCGTTGTTCTGGATGCGTCTTGTCATCCTGTCACTGACAATCACTGATAACTGAGAGAAGGCCTGAGAATGTGCTTACACAGTACAATTTCAGGTCCTGTTCTTTGTGCAACTTGGTTGCAAAGTACAAATACTTTGAATTTGATTTGTACTGAGACTTAAATCTTAGCTACCTATACCCCTCAGAGGATGACGTCTGTAGCCAGTTTAGGGGAAACTCAGTTCTGGGATTTCTAAATTTTAAACAATGTTTCAATGACTTATTAAAACATTGCATACATTCTGTTGCAGCCTAAAAAACAAAAAACCCCAAAGGATACAAGCAATGCAAAACAGCTCCTAGAATATGAATGTACTAATGTACAATAAGAAATACTGCTATCACTCTTGTCAAAACGCTCCCAGCAGCATTGCTAGGAGAATCTACTTCAGAAACCAAATTACCACTGACTGAGCGCATAGCACCAGAAGGAGGGCAGCAAGCTGGATGATTCAAAGCTTTGATGTAGCACTTCCCCAAAGAATGTGTCATAGTTTATTAATAGGTCCTCTTTGGGGGAAAAAAAGTGTTCCATTGTCGCATAAGCTTGGAAAACACAGAAGGAGTTTCTTTTATGTGGACCCTTTCGGGGAGGCCTAAGATGCAAATGTACAGATGTATCTCTAGGGGTTGACCAAGTCATGGAACCTCTCTGAGCCTCAGTTGCCTCAGATGAAGAGAACGAGGGCTGAGATTTTCCAGCACACTGAGGCTGATATTGGCATTAAAGAATTGCTGACCTGTGCCCCTGAACCACCCCCAGCATCCCAAGTGACCCCCAGTGGCTGATGAAAGATGGCTACAGTTCTCTGACTCCTGAATCTGGGCTAGCCTTTGACCGCTGTGACTAAGAACAGCTGTGCCGGTTCTGGACCCAGCCTTTAAGATGATCAGCCGCCTCTGTCTTAGACTCTTGGAGACCCGAGCCTCTGTGTACAAAATACAACTACTGGCTGGAGAGCTCACATGAAGAGGCTCAGAGAACACAGAGAAAGGATGAGAGGTCCAGGTGAGTTCAACCTTCCAATCGTTTCATTAAAGCACCAGGTATGGGAGAGAAGTCGTCTTGGACTCTCAGCCCAGCCCAGCCACCACCTGCCTGTCACTGAGAAACTCCAGTCCATACCACAGGGAGCGAAGAACTGTCTGGCTGAGGCCCTCCCGAATTCTTGACCCATAAAATCTCGAGATATAATAGAATGGCTGTTGCTTTAGGTTACCAAAATAAGGGCAGTTTTTTATGTCATAATGCATAACCAGATCCCCTTCCCCCATGCTCCATTTGATTGCATTTTACAGATGAGGAAACTGAAGCAGTGAAGTACATTGAAACTGAAGTGACACAGGCGGGATTTGAACCCAGGCTGCTCGGCACCAGAGTTCATGCTTTCGATTGCTCACTATGCCACCTCTCAGCTGGCCCAAAGGACTGGGTCCAACTGAGGTAAACACTACATTCCAGTAAATTTACTCATGACTTTTTCAGTAATATAGCTACTAAATGGGTAAAAATACTAGACAGCATTATAAGAGCTAAAAAACCTTGAAAAAATATTTGTTCATAGTTTACCAGAAGCTGAGAGAGAGCATTTAGCACCATAAATACTATCACTGATACTAACAGAATTTCCCTGCTTACTGAATCTATAAAGTTACCTAATGATTATCAACGTAACAGGAAAGTCACCGGAACGGTCTGATCCAATCTGACATATTAGACACGGGCTCACACAGGGGCATTGTTTAGTTAGCAACGGCCACATCAACAATGCAAAAATCACAAAAACAACATCTCAAAACAACAAACAATCTAGCAATTATAAGAATAACTGGTAAACAATTCCTGTTACATCTTGTATTTAGAAGGCAGTCTTAAAACAAATACACAAAAATATAAACGGAATGGTTAGTTTACTTAGAGGATGAATTTTAATCTATATTAAAAGATAAAAATTTATAGGGTAATTTCTTTTACTGTACTACTTATTAAATATTTTGAATATTATTCTTGTAAACAATAGTACACATGGAGTTGTTTTAAGAATTAAACATAATTAAGTATGTGCATGGTACAAAGCAGGCACTCAGTAATTACCAGCTATAATTATTAGTGATTGCACGATTGTTATATGTGTATATATAGCGTATCCCAAAGTCACTAGACTCTGGAAATCTTTATTTCTGTTCATTCATTCATTATTACGAAGCATCTCAGGGAATTAATATTGTGTGGGAGAGGTTGTCTTGGTGGCGGCAGGCCAGGAAAGCCCATATGCCAGGCACCACGGTGACCCTGAGTCATTGCCACGTGCTTGCCTTATTGTGCCACGGTGTGAGAGCAGCTGTAATTCTGGCTTCCTGGAAGCTCAGGGGACAGCAGAGTTGAGAAGGCAGAAACAGATGATGGGAATATGAGCAGTCGCTGAGTATGTGTGGAAAGAGACACCACCGTCCCCGGAGAGACTTTCAGCCATGGTTCCAAGACCTGCCTGCAGCTCTGCCTCCAGCGCCTGGGGCCCCTGGGCGATGGCGTCTCTTCCCGACTGAGGATGTCCGCCACCCTGTGGTGACTGGGACATGCTTACTTCTCAGCCTAGTGGGGGGACTAAAGTGTACTCACTTGTTGGGGTTCCTAGAGCCCAGCGTCCAGTACTGAGACAGAACATTCTTTTCCTGAGGTAGTAGCTTCTTTGCCTGAAAGAATGTATGGTGCTCGACACAGGATTTCCACAAGTTTTTGCAAGATCGGTAATTTAACATGTTGAAGGCCACAATATGATCCCTGGATTCAGTCTGGGAGGAAAAACATAGTAGAGATTTCACCGGAACAGATGTGGAAGCAAGGTCTCAGCCTTTCACGCCACATCGGCGGCAATCGGGTAAGTAAGATGCGGCAGACAGAGAAAACTGGCTTCCAAGTGCCTCAGGCCACAACGGTGTCGCAGGAATATTCAAGGGCAGGGTCTGATAACCATCCTACCAGAGCCTACTCTTCGTCAGTATCTGTGGTCCTTCATGAACATTTTCATTTCAAAGATGCTTACATTTCTAGGCTGGATATATTTGGAACAAACCAGACGAGGACTGTCTGATACATTCCTTTGAAAATCTAGCTCAGGGCCAATCTCTACCCTGGAGAGAGAACTTTCACCCAGCAGACAATGGGAATTTTGTAATACTTTTGATTTCTCTACTTGCTTTCCGCAAAGCAGTGTGAAATCTAGTGCTCATACAGAATAATCACTTCAGTTACCTGCTTTACTTTCAGCCTACCTGAGTTTAGCATTTCTGTTCTCATGTTAAATTACCATCCTATGCATTTCTGGGCCACCTTGAATCTTGTCTTGGGGGTTGGGAGCCCCAGATGCTAGCCCTAGTTTTCTCTGGGCTTCTGTGTTCCCGTTCCTACGCATTCACTGGGATGGGGAGGCATTTTAGGTACATACTATCTGTGAAACACTGGGGAATGGACACAGTGACAGTAAGTGAAAGTCGTGCAGCATAACAAGGCGGCGGTGTCGTGGGAAGAGCAGGCAGTTCTGATTTAAATTCCAGCCCCTCCACTTTGTAGCTATGGAGCTTCCTCACTGCTAAGCCATCTTCCTTGTTAACCAAACTGAGTTATCTGGAGAGCCGGGTCCTCTTCTGAGGCACATACAAAGGCCAACGTGCACTTGAAACACATCAAGGGGAGGAACTGACCCTGTTGACACTGCTACCCCCCCGTGCCAGGTGGCTTTGACTAATGCTCTTATTTAATCGTCACCATTCCCTGAGAAGCGGCATTACCGAGTTTCTGTAAAGACGGTAACTCAGGCTAGGGAAGGTTAAGCAACCTGCCCAGTGGTAGGTGGAAGAGCAAGCCCGAAACCATCGTCTGACTCCAAAGCAAGTTATTTCTCCAACCAGACAAGCAGAGGGAGTTCTACAGAGAACTGCTGGGGCCTCCGGGCGCCGGGCTCTGCTTTCTCTCCACCATATGCCACGCTCTTCCCTCCCCGTCACGCATGTGGCACACTGCCTTCACCCGCCGAAGAGCCGAAAGGACAAAAAACGAGAAACAAAGCACAGACAGAACTCACCTGTTTTTGTCGCTGATGGATAAAGAACTTTTTCCTTTTGAAAGAGATTTTTAGAATGTTCACCCTGCAAAAAAGAAAGGAAAACACACAAAAAAGCACATCAGGGATCAGCCGGGCCTCTCAACGTGCGTCTTTCACTCCACGGTCACGATGACCGGAGTTTATTTCCATGTAGAAACGATCGTGGCACAATCGCCTCGGCCAAACACCAAGCAGCTGACTGAAGCTGAGTATCGCATAAGGGCCACTGGGTTATGACGTAGTTTTTAAATAATAAGAACTATGGGCAGCGTGCTCTTTGCTGCCAGCGGCTTTTGTGACACTGCAGCTCCGCGTGAGTGGTGTGCACCTGGGGGAGACAGGTGAGGGCAGTGTGGAGCAGCAAAGAGGACAGACAGAAGCCAGACCCAGAGCCACATCCCAGCTCCGTGACTTAACAACACGATTACAGCCATCATTAACTGGGCATCTTTTACATGCCAGGTTCTCTACTAAAAGCTTTGCAAGCAGTCCCTCAACTAAGCCTTGCAACAGTCCTGAAAAGCATACTTTATTACGCCCAGTTTTCAGATGAGGAAACTGAGGCTTAGAGACATCACCTGAGTGCTCAACTAGGAATGCCTGCAGCCAGGATCTGAGCCTGCGCTCTTAAGTCTTCCACTGCGAAGTCTTCTGAGCAGTGGGGACAGGGCTGCCTGTCCCATGGATTTGTCTTGTGAGGACTGAAGTCTTGGGCTGCCTGAGTTTTTAGACCTGAACTGAACACTTGGTAAAAGTTCAATTAATCACTAAAGAACCGCATTGAAAACACAGTTCCTGCCCAGAGAAAGTTCTCTGAATTCTGGCCAATGCACTGCCCAGGATTCCTTTCCCTCAAAACCTGCCTTGTACCATTTTACCCACACCCCACTGAGCATCCCAAACCACAGGGTGACTGGCGGGGAGAGACGCCGATGAAAACCAAACTAACGTTCCCAAGTACTGAATCTGGATCAGATTCAGAGGCTGGAGGTAAACGCTTGGAAGAGAGTCTCCATCCCCCTTTTTAGAAGTAAAAGTTTAAAGTTAGAGGTGACACTACTTTTGTTCAGCATATTTTTAAAGCATGATGCAGAAATAATCAGAACCAGTTTGCACTTACCAAGGATAGAAACTTGTGCAAATATATTTTCGGTACACAGCAATGCCCGCGGAAGCAATTCCAATCATTAGATCTAAATTGTGCAGGTCCTGTCAAAAGGAAGATCTGATTCATCGTGTGTTATGGCCAAGCCCATGCCCCTTGGTAACTCAAGTGTGCCCACGCTTTTATAAACAGCAATGTGCAGCAGCTCCAAAGGGAAAGTGCTATGGAAAAGAGGCAAAAATCCCTTCTTAATGGACACTTACGATCTAAGTACGTAGCACCAGATCTTCTAAAGTGAATGTATGCTGTCTGACAGTTAACACCTGCTCCACCGGTTTCGAAAGTTACCAGGCCACTCATTCCACAGAATCATTGAAACAAAATTCAATTTTACATTTTCTACAATTAGCATTAGATGTCATATTAAAATCACAAAGGCCTTGCCCCCTGCACAGCTTTATGTAAATCTCAACTCCTGCCACTGAAAAGGCCTTAGCTATTAGAACGAAGCGTAAAACCACTGACTTGAAATCCAATCAAGACATAAACGTTGCTTACAAATCCAATCTGTTCAACATTTGTTAAGAGCTTATGTGCTGGGCATGCCGTAGGTAATAAAGATACAGAAGGAAGATACAGCAACTGTATGTTGTTTAAGTCTCTTTGGGAACAAGGGGAGTATAAGTAAACAAAATTTTAAAATGAAACAGTTCCTTCCTGGCCCTGGCTGGGTAGCTCTGTTATATGCCAAGGTTGCAGGTTCAATCTCTGGTCAGGGCACATAAAAGAATCAACCAATGAATGTATAAATAAGTGGAACAACAAATTCTCTCTTTCTCCCCCCCTCTTCCCCTCTCTCTCTCTCTCAAGTCAATAGATAAAAATTTAAAAACACACAGAAAATAGTCCCTACCCTTGAGTCACCTATATCCCTATTTACCAATCAGATACTTGCAATTACAAAGCAGAAGCAGAGTTTGACTTGGTTTGTCCTTACTGGCTGTGTTACTTCGGGTGACTGACCCTCAGTTTTTCCTTTTGCACACTAAGGATTATCAAACCCACCTCCAGGGGTTTTTACCAGGCTAAAATTAGAGAATATACGAATGTAGAATGGGGCTTGGGGACAACTCACTTTTGAAATATGATGTGAACATGGGAAATCAGAGTAACTGGCCAAAGAAAACAGAGCCGATACAATGAAGAATCCAGAGAGTGTTCACTATTGGGCACCCAACTGAAATCACATGCTAAGGAAAACCAAATTTGCTTGGTGGAAACCAGGGTTGCATTTAAACATGATACCCGAGGATCAAAATATAGGGAGAAATACTAAGCAGGTGGGCTAGGCAAACAAATTAGCAAATAAAATCAAAATTGAGTGCAGAATAAAGAAATCAACGAATGGCTTGGGTGGGCAGCGACCTGGGTCTCAAACCTCCTGGTTCTGTGGTCTTTCCGTCTGCACCTCCACCCCGGCAGCACGGACCATGACTGATCCCTGAATTCCCACGCCCACCCCCACATCTCCCAGCTCCACTCGCACAAGGCAGGGCCATGACTGGTTCTGGCCAATGTGCTCTAGTCAGAAGTGACAGTGGGTCTCTTCTGAGGCAAACCGTTTAAGAGCTGGTGTGCAGCCCTCCAGCTTCCTCTTCCCTTGTGACAAGCACAAGGCCTTGTGTTAAGATGGTGAAGCCACCAGAGAGAAGCGGCCCAGACTGCTGAGTCACTACCTGGAGGAGGGCCGCCCTGGAGAGTCGTCAGGACCCGCTGCAGACTCTGAACTACGGAGAAACTTTGTGGTATCAAGTATCTGAGATTTAGAGGGTCTTGGGTTGACGCAGCACAGCCAGGAGTAACCCAGCTCCCTCTGATACCCTGCAGGTCTCAGCTAGGCAGGGAATCATCTGGCCTCAGGACCCTCGTGGGGCACTGGGGGTACAGAGAACAAGACCAACGCAGGCAGACATAAAACCTACTTCACCACTGGAGAAAATTCTCCACAACATTCCACTAGAGACAAAATATCATTTGCAAATGGAACAAAACGTAATGGCCAAGTCCCAAAGTTGGTAGTTTGCAAGATCCAGTACGTTTTTCCTACTTTATTACCTATGTTATAACTTGTCTGCCACCGTTATGGGACTGAAGAAAAGTGTTTCTGTGAATTGCAAAAATATTATACAGATATAAAATTTGGCCATTTACTCAACTTCCCTGAGCCTCAGTTTTCTCATCTGCAAAATGAGATAATTAGAATACTAATTTCATAAGGTTACTATAATCTTTAAATGAGACCTTATGGTCTCATATGAGAACATTTGGAACAAATGGTTAGTACATACTAGGTGTTCACCCAATATCTGCTTCCTTTTGGATGTGATGTGGGCCGATTACAGTTAGAAAAAGTAAAGGTCAGATATCAATTAGAGAGTGCTGGGGTCAAGTACTGAAGCCACTACTATAAGTCCCTCTGATAAGTCCATCAGTATCAGTTTCTCCATCTGTAAAATGAGGGTAATGATAATACTTACCTCATGGGAAATAAATAAGCTACTGTGTGGCAGATGAAAATTGCTCAGGAAATAACAGATATTAATCCATTTAATTTAAAAAGTCACAACCAATTTAAAATACTGATTTTAAGCCCTGGCCAGTATGGCTCAGTTGGTTGTACACCATCCCACGCACCAAAAGGTCACCAGTTCGATTCTCAGTCAGGGCACATACCCAGGTTGCGGGTTTGATCTTGTGCAGGAGGCAACCGATGTTTCTCTCTGACACCGATGTTTCCCCTTTCTCTCTTCCTCTCCCTTCCTCTCTCTCTCTAAAATCAATAAAAACACATTAAAAAATAAAATAAAATGCTGATTTTCATAATCATACTGTGATACTTTTTTAAAAAACATATTTGAGTAATTAGCTCTAATTTGAGCAGCACTGAGATTAAAGAGTAGAAACCTTAGCTCATTAAAATATTACTTAGAAAATAGATTTATATACATTTTTGCTTCTTTAACCATAATATAAAATGGCCGTACAAAAATTACTTGTTTCTAATCCCCTAACCCTCCCCAAATAAAGTCTTCAAGTACAAAGGCAAACATGAAAAAAGAAATTGAAAAAAACCACCAGCAAACCTCAATATTACTTTATAAACTTCCAAACATCTAAAAAAAAAGGTCTTTATTTCCTTTGCAAAAGCAAGAGTTTCAAAAGATGTTTTCAAACTTTCAGAAATTAAAATCAAAATAATCTTTTGAAGCAAAACGTGCCCAGGATACCTACCCTACCACTGTGCAGCTCCACTCCATAGAAGTCGAGGGTCCGTGCTATGTTGATGAAGCAGGATTCAGCTTCTGACTGCTTCAGCCCACTACAGGAGAGAGAAGACAGAGTTCACCCAACAGAGGACAGTAACTCCAATTCTTAAAATGAATACAAATCTAAAAAATTCGACAGCATTACTCTCAGGCATTAGTAGCATAAATGCCTTATGCTACTAATCTTAATCTAACCTTAAATTCTACTAAACCAGGTCTTCCTTCTTGCCCACTACGTAAGACTTCTTCTAGCCCACCCATTTCTCTATTAAACACTACTCTCCCCTAGTAGGCTCTCCACATTCAGACACAGGAGACCGTCATCTCCGGAATTCCCACCCTACTTATTCCAAGTTGCTTAGTAGGTGCTCTTTAGGTCTTTCTGCCTTTATCTACCCTTTTAGCAGCGGCCTCCAACTTCTAAACGTCACTGTACTATTTTAGGACGCTGGCTTCTGCCTGGGGAGCAATTCTGGGAGAGAGGATTGGCAGTGCCTTTCAGAAGGGACGCTGGGTGCTTGGCCTTTGTTTTTATGGCCTTTCCAAGCATGTGAGGTCCCTCGAGACCCAGCCTTCCAGTCACAGGGGCACCGTAGCTTTGAGTCAGCTGAGGCGAGGGAAGAAAAGGCCAGATGGGGCGTGTCTGTTGCAGTAAAGGTTTGGCCCGAGGCAGCCGCAGAAGCCTGGAGCTCCCTTCTGGAAGTGAGGCAATTTCATGACCGGATGCCAGAGAGGGCGTCGGACTGAGCCAGCCCGCCAGCATTTTTGTCCATCTGCCTGTGCATTCGACCCCACCTGAAGGAATGGCCCGCTTTAGTCAATGTGGTAAACTGTTTGAAGATTTGTCTGGCAGGGCCAATTTGTGGGGCAGTCAGATTTAAAACGGGCCTTTCCTTCAGGAGTTAACTGATTTCAACGACATCCTAAGAGAGAACACAGCATATTGCCCTGAACTCTTACTGCATTTTATACTTTACAGAACGCCAGCTATGCCAAATATACATGCCCTCGTTTCAGCTCGGAGGCTCACAAACCCCCGGCATCCTGAAAGAGGATTCGTGAACAAAAGGGACATGAGGCCACGGCACACACAAGGAGGCACGGGGCTGGCGGTGCCCGACCTGGGTTCCCAAAGTAGGCCACCCGACCCCTCCTCTCACCTGTGCTGCTCATGCAGAGACTCCACCTTCGTTACAAAGTCATCGTTCTGATCTGGTATAAACTGACTATCAGAAAGATAGCCCGGCTGATGAACGGAAGAATTATAGTCTCCAAAATGAGCTATCAAGACAGAAGGAGGAGGAGAGTGCCTTTTCAGCATGGTCTGTACTTACAAGCATCTATAGCATCACAAGAAAAACATTCATTGGAAATATTCTCCCCAAAAGCTCTGCCCCCACAGGAACCTGAGTTTCTCATTAGCTCCAGATTCCATATTTATTACTTGAACTCTCCCTACAGGTGAAGGGCTGCCACACGTGCTCCAACCAAATTCTCTCTGTCCCTGAGGCCACACAGGAGGAAAGGGGAGGCTATTTGGATCTGGGTCTTATTCTAATCCCACGTCTGTTCCATACTCTGGTCAACACAGCAGGTTGTGCTCATACCCCCGGACAAAGAAAAATAAAAGAACCCACCCAGAAAAACGCCACTCTCTGTATGCCAGGCCCTGTGCCAACTCTCTTTGTAGTGCCCCAAGGTTGTTTTAACACTGGACCAACCTGCTCTAAAAAACAGGTGAGGTCATGCTGACCCAATCACGGTCTGCATCTTGACTCACTCCCGGGAATTCAGGAAGTGTGGAAGGAAGGGAACCAGGGTGTGTTCAGAGGCTGGTGTGTGTGTATGTGTGGAATGGGAGGGGGTGGGGCTGAAGGGTCTAGGCCCTGGCAAGGTTAAGGAAAGAGTTTTTGGGAAGTAAACATTCTTAGGGGAGTCAGAAGACAGCAAGACAGATGCTGGGGCTGTCAGGGAAATAACGTTGGGGACCTGCAACCAGAGAGGGAAGAGAAAAGGGGGAACTCCTAGACTGGCCCCTGATCCAAGTGGCACTTCTCCCTCCAAGCCCTTGACTGCCCTCGCAGACATGGCCCACTGAGATCTGTGGTGTGGTGGGTACACCTGAGAGCTGTGCAGTGAGTGCCCAACATGTACCACTGCATGTGGCTGCCCTCAGGACTCAACCCACCTAGGCGTCTGGACTACGGGGAGGACTAGGAATAAGAACCCTGGGTGGGGAGCCAAGGGTCTGGCCTGAGGGACCCAAGGACACCTACTTCCCTTCCCCAAGATTCAGTATTTCCATCTGTATAAAAACAAGCGTGAGAGAGACAACTTGCAGCTCTGCTGGGCAATTCATCTAGTATTTCACTTTCCTGACAAAAAACGGCTATTTCATCTTTCTTAAAATGTGAACCTAGATCTTTCCAAAGGTTTTCATGAATTCTTCCTGTGGCTGGCTTCAATGCTAGGGTGCTTCTGAGGACTCATGGTCATTTCAGAGCAATCACTTGGCACATAAGGTTTCTAAATCAAACACAACTGTTCTATCACGAGGACCAGGACTGGGGAGAACTGAGGTGATGTTTCATGGCCAATCCCAGAAGGAAAAAAGATGAGCCAGGTGGATGCTTAGGTGAAAGTCATCACAAAGCTGAAAGGTCAGATGCAAGGGTATCTTCCTTTACATCTACTCAGCCTCGCTGACTCTCAACGGCCACCATGCTCAAGGGTCGCTCTCTGAGATCACACTGCAAGGAAGGGATTCCTTTTCCTTACGCTGTTCCTTGTGGGCTGGGAGTGGGTCAGACCCATCGTTAGGGCCTAGCTGTTAGGCATGGCAGACAGGAGGTGATCAGGAATGTGTTGCCGGAACTGACCTGTACAGAAGCTACTGCAAAGTTCAATTCTGGAAGGGGAAGAGGGCAGAAAGCCAAGAGATCTATCACGCCGACTTGGTCAAGGGTAGACCGCAGGCCGTGAAGGCCAGCCAAATGCAGCTGAGCTGTGGACGAAAATGCCCAGGCTGCATGATGTCAGCACAACTGTGGCTCACAAGTGAGCTTCTGCACAGCGAGGTGTGCAATGGCGCATTTACAGGACGTGATTTAGATGCCCTTGCACAGGGTCCACAATGAGGAGAGCCTGAGAAAGCCTCAGAATCCCCCCATCCAAATTCTTCATGGCAAAGGGAAGGAAACTACGGTCCAGAGAGAAAGGACTTGCCTCTATTCACAGCCAATTTTCAGGAGTCCAGAGATCCATACCCCAGCTAGTGCTCCTACAATCCACTGAGCTGCTGCTGGCCACATGCTGATGACAGTGGTCATGTCCCCAGAGGGCAACCAAATGCTGCAAATGATTTTCCTGAGCCTCAAGGTTGGTTTCATTAGCTCAGAAGATCCTGTTGGATCTTGATTTGGTCACCCGTCATATAACTAACAGTCCCACCCCCAACATGAACAGCAAGGTTCTCCCTTTAGTCAAGTCACCTACAAACGTCTGAACTGAACGCAGGACCAATGAAGGTATCTCCCTCCCCATAGGATGGTTTTCCCTTGAAACCTTAGCAGGATACTCTGTGCAAGTCCTGTGCTAACCACTAGGGGGAAACAAAGTTAACTGGTGACACACAAAACGTTTGGAAAGCGCAGGGCAGTTTCCACTTTGATTTCAATGACATCTTAGCAGGAGATGCTCCTGATAACCAGGCCTTAGGCGATGCTTTCATCCCTCATTTAACAGATAAAGGAGTTGAGACTCAAGGAAGAGCCCTGCCCACTGTTGCTCAGCTGGTAACTTGGAGCCTAGGCTCCGACCACAGTCCACACTCTTATCTATTTACTATACCACACGCCCAAGCAATACATGCAAAAGCGCTAATTATAGCAGAAAGAAAAGGAAATAAGGGCTTGTGTGTGGGAAATACCTTGCCTTTTAAGTTCCATGCATTCTCCTGGCTGATATTTTATGTTTTGTAAAAAAGAGAGTATGTTGTAGGAACTCACATGGGTGGCATTTCAAGCTGTCCAGCTGTTCCTCCGGGAACGCCCTTTACGTATGTTATTCCTCCAACTCCCACCTGACATTTGAGGCTCTTCTCAGGGGTCCTCGCTAGGAAGCTTCTCCAGACTCCCTCCCCTCTCCGCCAGGCAGGAAGCAGCATCCCTACTGCCAGCCTCACCTGGGCCACCTCTGCCTGCCCACCAGGCTGTGGGCCCCTGTGTGTAGAGCAGCGTCTGTCTGTCTGTCTGTTCATACAGAGCTTGGCGCAGAACCCACACATGGCAGAGGCTCAGAGGGCATTATGGAGCAAATACATTTCTAAAAACTGTATTCTTTGAGCCTCATAAACCCTTGACAAGGGACCAGCAATCTTCCGCCATCAAGACTTCTCAGGCATTCCACCCACAGATCACTTTACCTTATCTAGTAAGAAACTGTGCCTTGGGGCTGGCTGATTCACTGATCACTGGTGGGGTAGGGCTTATCTTCATATTAGACACCCTTCTTGAGAGACAATGTGGCAAAATGTATCAGATAAATATAGGCATGCCCTTTGATCCAGCAAATTCATATCTAAAATTTAATCTTAATGAAATGTATACACAGAGCATGGAAAAACATGTTTACTGAGGGTGGAGGAATAAAGAACTTGTACTTAAAACCACTTGCCTGACAACCCACGATATTATTAGCATGACAGTCAAGCTAATATTTCCATGGAAGCTAGTTTGCATTTTTTAGGGGCTAATAACTTTCTTTAGCCCCTAATCTATCAGTCTTTTGCAGAGGGGAACCTGACTACTGAAGCTCAGAAGAGGATTTTTTTCCCCTCATTCTTAAATTTTATTCAACACAGAATGTGTTTATAACAGGCAGTTCTTTTTAAAAGCCTTCTTCTGGGCAGACATGGAAATACAGTAACAGTTAACACTTGCCATGTGCCAGGCTCTAGTCTAAGAGCTTTCCATGTATTAACTCATTTCACCTTCACTATAACCCTATGCAGTTGATAGTGTTACGATCCCCACTTGACAGATGAAGCAGCTGAGGCCTGGAGAGGTTCAAGATCACGCATGTGCAGGAAGCAGGGCCCAGGTAATATGGCTTGTCTGTGCTCTCACTGACTCAGTTAACAGCGATGGTCTAACTATAAAGTTTCTAGTTACCGATCACCTTATATTATTTGACCAAGTAGTCATATTGCAAGTTGTTGTAATCACCATCATCACCTCCCTCTTACAGGTGAGAAATTCGAGATTCACATACGTGGCAAATGCAGATGCCAGGATTTAAATCAAGCTTGACTGTGTCCTACCTCCTTTCTAGTGTTTCTGCTCCTCAAACCTAACGCTCTGGCTGTGGACACCAAACTCGCTCTGAGATGTAGGAAAACTTGCTCTCCTTGGCGAATCAGCCTGGCAGAGATGCTGTCCATGAGGTCTAGACAGCGGTAAGAATACAGCTGACTGCTGACTGTGCCATTTCCCACACAGGTGCGACATCGCCAGGTCTGTTCCAGACATATGGGAGGGGAAAGGGAGCTTTCAAATCCACCCAGGCCGACCACTGCAGCTCTTCTCAGTTTCCCATCAGGGGGAAGGAGATGCAGGTAGAGAGAGGCTAACACTGGGTCTCATCTTACTAGGAGTAGGGTCACTGTTAAAAGTCTCTTTCATGTCCTGAGGTTACGCAGGTAGGCAGGTAAGCTGCAGGCTCAGTCACCCTGCCCTTCACCGCTCCCATTTCTGTCCTCTGCTGCTAGGGAAGTAGGCAGACTTAAGGCCACCTCGGGAGTCCCTGTGAGCCTTCTCTTGCTATTTTGCCTCTTCTGAGACCACAGTAGGGTAAGTAGTCCAGCCTGCGCCTGCTCTGCGACTGGACCGCCCTGATCTCTTAACTCGCTACCATGCAGTCAGCCGAGGGAGCATGTAGCGGGCCAAGATGGTGTGGGCCTCAGAGGGGCTTTCCTGAGTCTGGAGCTACCATGCAGCTCTGCGCAGCTCTGCGCAGCTCTGCACAGCTCTATGTGGTGCACTGAACTGGCACACCGGGCGAACTGCCTATCAGGTGATGTTTCGCCTTCCATCTGGCTCATCAACCTCACGGCTCACACCCCGCATCTCCCACAGGGCCGAAGTGGAATGGACGCGCGATCAAGTTTTGCAGGTTGAATGAGCAGATTCTTACTCCAGCTTAAACAGGCCTTGTGGGAAAAGTCCATCTGGACTTTCTACCCAGTATGGCAGCCACTGGCCACACGTGGCTACTGAGCACTTCAAAGGTGGCCAGTCCACACTGAGATGTGCTGTCGGTGTAAAATGTGGCGGATCTGCAAAGACTTAGTACAAAAAGAGTAAAATATCTCATTAATAATATTTTTACACTAATTACATACTAAAATGATAATATTTTGGATATATTGGGTTACAGTATATTGAAACTAATCTCACCTGTTTCGTTTTACTTTTTTAATACAGTTACTAGAAAATTTTCAATGCATATTCAGCTCACATGGTATTTCTATTAGATGGTACTGCTATCCATCAATATATATAAAACCCATTAGCTCTATGGAAACCCTAAAAATAAATTCCTAAGACCCTAGCAGTGTTTAGAGCGGCACCAAGCAAGTAGTAAGAATGACCTCCAGCAAACTCCGTAACTTAGGTGGGCCTCGGTTTCTGGGTGTGTAGGAGGTGACCGGTATAAATATTTGCCCCACTGGGGGTTGTTGTGGAGAACAAATCCAAAATGTGAGCAAAGCCTCTGGAAAACGTAATGGCGACAGGTGTCTTCTGTTGTACGGTCTCCCCTGCGAGAAAACCTCACACCACAGCTCACCACTCTTTTTCCTTCAACCACCTTCCTGCGTCCAACCTCTCTGAGCTGAAGGAGGGTGTAAGTCAGGGTGAGAGTGGAACTATCTGGACAACCAGAGATGCCTTCCCAATAGGATTCCTGGGAAGAGGGGAAGGGACACGGTCCAACAGGAGAAGCCAGAACAATCCGTCCATTCGTGACGCGCTCCCTTGTGACTTACATTGCACTGCATAGGATGCTAGAACCACCGCTGAGTTAAGAGGGCAGGTCAGCCTGTCGGGAGAAAAACATGTCAGGAAAGGCACACGAGCTGGAAACACTCATTATCACCTGTCTTTTCTTTCTTGAGTTAACTATTAAAACACACCGTGAATCATAAAAAAGACAATTTTATGATACAACTGATATCAGTAAAGATCAGTGTAACACTAAAGATTTCTAAACATCAAAAGAAAACTTTTTCATGTTTAAAATAATATACATTAATACATATACCACGAACGTCATGGTTGGCCAGGGTTTCGGCTGGTGAAGCCAAGAGAGGCCAGGCTCATATCACTAAGAGGAAAAGTGAGAAATTGCACTCTTGGATCAACGGACGACCTTCGAATCTTTCTGGTAGAGACGTGAGACTTTTCACAGGGCTCTCTAACTAAACCCCTAAGGTCTGTTAACTCTATGATTCTGGATTACCCACTTTCTCGAAGGGTGACCTTCTCTTGAAAGGAGAAAATAGAAAAGTATTATGAGTTTTAAAACTCCAGTGAGTTTTAAATTACCTAATTAAATTGGTTATTTAAGATTCTTAAATCTTTTCACTCTCCTGAAGCTTCCAGTCTATGGGGAATGGTTTGCCCACCTCTCCGGTTTCCTGCCATCCACCAGGAATCCACAAACTCCAGGCTGGACTTGTTCCTCTGTCCTCTTAAGCTCACCGCCCTCTCCAAAACCCCTTTTCTGCCTGCCATTCCATCCCTGTCTTGGTCGTATTTCAAATCCTCTGAGTGCTCCCTTTTCTCCATTCCACTGGGTCCCACGGTCTACGTAGGAGCCCGGCCAGCAGACCTGGAGCAGGGATCACCGCCAGGTGGAGGGGTGCATCGGGAAAGGGCTGAACGCAGCAGCAGGCGTGAGGGTTTGCAGGGTGGGGAGACACGGATTTTAAAAGCGTTCTTCCCAGCAACCCCATGGGAAGTGGAGAAAACATGTGGTTTCCATGGCAGCCCACGAAGATGTGAGTCACCCCCACCTCGCTGACTAATCTGGCTGGGCCGTCAGGGTTCCCCTTCCTGTCCGCTGCCCGAGTGCTGGCCCTGCAGCTCCGTGGGAGGGCAGCCTTCGCCCTCTGAGGGGCCTGGCTGGAAGACCTAAGTGCCCTCTCCAAGTCTGCAGACAGCCAGGGACGCTCACTGTCTGCCTTCACGTGGAGACCCGGCGAGCCCGTGGGGAGAGCACACGCTAGCCCTTCACTCTCCTACCAAGACGGGCTTTGGTGGAATCTAAGCCAGGGTCCCTGCTGCAGGAAGAGCAGGCGAGGGGACTTGGGAACAACTTAGGAGAGGGGCTAAGGGGGTTCAGTCTAGATCGAAGAAACAATCCCGTGAATAAGTCGGAAAGGAAAACATCTCCGAAGGAGAGTGTAAATACGAAGTAGGGAACTTGGAAAGCCTGCCTTCCACTCTCGGCTCAGCCACTCACGGGCCACATCTTCCTAAGAGATGCCTTTCTCTCTCTCTGGGCTTTAGGGTCTCCATCTGTTGGACAAGATCACCTATCTCGGCCGAAGGAACAGGTGCCTTCTTGCTGCCTACCACTGGCAGGTCAAACAAGTCAGGGCACGATGTGACATCCAGGAGCAATGCTAACTAGATCCAGTGCGTCCATCAAAAGATCTACAGCTACAAAGGGCCAGGTGCTGCCCTGGGGCACACCTGAGACACACCTGGTAGCGGCAGGCCCTCTCCTCAGACAGGCGGCGAGGGCCACCTGCGGACCAGAGAATGACCAGGACGCCAGGGGTCTCAGCCAGGAAGCCCATGGCCCTCAACAGATTTCCATCAATTCACCAAAAGCTAACAAGGGGCATTTTGTCTGGAGAAGAAACAAACCAAGACGACCAACTTCTGATACTTGCAGAGCTGCACTGAAGGCTCCTGAAGGGCGGGGCCCCGTCCTATCTGACCAGCACAGTACACTGCCTGTCTCATAGCAGGTGCTGACAAAGTGCTGGTGAGAAAAACCCATCAGTGAGTAAAGGAGAGAGAGACAAGTTCCAGAGGAGGGGTGGGTAATTTCAACCCAGAGTTGTGCTGAAATGTGAGACGGCTGCCTTGTGAAAGGGTGAGCTCCCCATTACTAGGGGTATTCAAGCAGAAGCCCAAAGGCCTGTCGGTTGTGCCAGGGAAGGGAGTCGTCCCTCCCTTGAGTGAAAGGATGAGTAAATTAGAAAATTCCCTATGACTGCTAAAGAGTCAACAGGGTCAGGCTGTCCTTTCTTCAACATGTCCGTTTCTGAAGGCTTCCACCC